CATGACATATCTTTGTTTATTGACAATTTATTTATCATTTTGAATCGGATCGTATGTCTGATACCAAAGCGCTTTATATATATATATATACTCATATGCAACATGGCCGCCAAGAGCGGACCTTGGCCACGGGGCAGCTTAGCCATCGCGGCCCCAAGCAAGGGTTGGGACTTCTGCATACTAGTATAGAATCCATGTTGAAGTGTCTTTTGGTGGACCAGTTATACTGCTTAGTTGTATAAAATAAATTATAAAATACATTACAGTATTAGCGTACAATTTTAATATAGATCAAGAAGGGCCGCGACATTTTTCCAGTGTTGAATTTCCTTGTTTAAAACGAGAGCAAACCCTTCAACAATTGTCAGATAAATTTTACAGTTCCTCTATATTATTTGTATCTGGTAATTTAGAGATTTTAAAAGGAGCAAGTCTATAAATACCACTAGCCTCATGCTTTCCTTTAAACTGCATTCACGTCGTATCGGAGCCGAACCGATATTCGGACCGCGTTTTCGATGGGGTGAACGCCAACGTCCCTATTCTTACACACTGATTCGACTTTATGATCACTTTGGTAGGCCGAAAATTCGGATTTGGTGTGAATGCACCCACTGCGCCCTACGGTCGTCGGCCGACGCGATTCTATGAAGAAGGCAAAAATGCGGTCATTCGATTGGGGCTGAAACATGTTTGTTTAAGTGTCAAAATCTCAGTCAGAATCAGTTTTTTAACAAATTTGAAATAATTCCTATGAAATATTATATTTTACAAGTGTCAATACTAGCAACAGAAAATATCATATCTGCCGTTTTTATATGTGATAACAGAACCTAAATCGAGGTAAGGCTACGCCTAACCTAGCAGTGTTGGGTAGGCTAATGTTTTCGGCGCCTACGATATTTCTTCGCACGACCTATCGCAAATTCAAACATGAAAAATTCATCCGCATTTATTTTTTGTGTGGAACACAAAAAATCAAATTTCTTATTTTACATTTTTTCATGCTTAGGAATGTCAGTTAAATTCAGTTAAACTAGCAATTTCGTGTTATATTTGTAAATCTTTATAACATTATACAAAAATTAGATTTTTCGTAACAACTGAAATTTTTGCCGGGAAGGGGGCTTTAAGCTTGGTTTCCATACAATCGCTAAACGCTATTGCCGACAGCTTTGGGTGATGCTGATTGGTCGGTCGAATCTAGAAGCCTTCCCGGTTGCGTCGGGGACTGCTACGCAATACAACAAAAACACTGTAGTGATTCTATGGAAACAGCTTTACTATCATGTTTTTCTAATTTTCAAATATAGGTTTCTTTGAGATTTAATTGTACATATAAACATTAAAACTTAAATATCATCTCATCTCTTTCTATTTGTGGCAGATTTAAGTATCCTAATTCTCGTCTATTGGTTGTGATAGGCCTCCATCAGGTGGTCATGTTTACATATTGTTATACGCGCTTGCTGTATGTGCGACTGTAACACTCAGTCCCTCGTGAGTGCAACTTTAAGCGTTGCACTTCGATGCCCGCATTTAGTGAATAGAGATTTACACATTACTATTGAATGTAATAGATTCGCTATAATGAAAACGACATACAGTCGTATTCTTACTAATTAACAAACATTTATAAGTAATTTTCTTTCCGTAGGCTACATATAATTGCTCTTGTTTGATTCCGTATGGTATTAAGTGCATTATACTGCAGTAAGGTAACGGTTTCGAAATGCCCTTTGCCTGTAATGTGTTGCTTGAAAGTAGGCCTGAGGAGGGGTGAAAATGAAACATTTACACCGAGAGTATCGAAAGTCTGGTCTCGGTTGAGCTCTAAACAGCTATCCATTATTAAATCGTTTACTTTTTTGCAGACACGATTCTGGAATATATAGACAAACAATTATACATAGTTGAAGCGATATTATGAGGTGCTTGGCGGTAGATTTCCCATTGTAATAATCTAAAGTTCGAAATGGGTCTCGTGTCTTTGACGTCATAATTTAATTGGCTCACATCTTTTCCTTTAGGCGCCAAGTTGTATTGAAGTTGATGGTTGATTTCGTTGTTTATATAGTATCTTTGTATGAATTCTTCTTTTCTTGAGCTAACGTTGTTAAGGATTAACTTTATAAAATCGTCTGTTAAATTAATTCAATAGACAATATTAAGCATCCAAATCTGCACTCGAATCTATGGTCGATGAAGTTTGTAGTATCATATGTACCATATGAAGACTACCATACAGAAACGACTAAAATTTGCCAAACGAATCAGCGTACCTTTTGTTTTAACCATTTATACATGTATAAGAGAACTTAATGACGCAACAATATACTGTAAGCAGGTCCCCTCTGCCCATATATGCCTAAAACCAAGTATAGCGAATAGAAAGACACGTTAAGTATGTATAACAATTTATGTTGGAAATGTATCCGTTAATACAACATTGTTTGTAACACCACTCCCCCACCCCCAACACTAGGCCATAGAAGTGTTAGGTACTAATGTCGTGCTTACATATGTGCGTCATGACGTAAAAATTGCAATCTAAATCTAGTAGTGTAGGCGTTGTAACAAGCATACAGATCCCGATTCCCTTGGTCTTTGGATATAAATTCCCAAACCTGGAATTGATATAATCTAATATATTGGTGTTGCGTTTCTAGTGCTCCTACACACGTGTCATCATCATCATCATCATCATCGGTTAGTTTCTTTTCGATAGAAGCTCTTGTTTCAGAAATTTCATACGAACACATTTATTATTTTCTCTGCAAGCAATGTATAGGCCTATTACTATACCTCCGGCATAATATATTCACCCATGTCTGTCTGTCGGGCTGCCTGACTGTCTGTTAGCAAGATTACGTAGAAACTAAGGAATGGATCATAAAATTTAGTGGAATGGTGCATAATAATCCAAGAAAGAGACAAATTAGGTTTTTTCACTTCGAATTTACCTGTAAGCATAAAAGAAAATAATGGAATCGCCCATACACGGTATGTGAATTATTTGGTATCCAGGCACAAGGCGGAGGTATGCACATTATGGGGGGACTGTTCTAGTTATATTATGTGATATTATAAATATTACATTACATAATATTATATTATACTATAGACCTACTTATTTTATTTACCTGTTTATTTGTTTATTATTGTTCTAGTGGCAAATAAAATATCTGCTACAGTAGGGTACACACAAGGACAGCAAACACAGATACAAAGTGTATATTAATAAATAATTATGCGCAAAAATAACAAATTAACTGAAATTATGATAAATATTACGGTACTAGGCCTAATAACATTACGGAAGATAATACAGTATTATTACTGAATAAACCCCAGGGCTCATAAAAACAAGAGAATTATAGCTAGGCTTAATCTACTAGGAATACTGTTTTAACACATTCGTCTACTAAAAGGTGTATAACAGAAAGATTATATCTAATGTAACGACTGGGGACTCTACACACGATTCACACGAGAAAACATGTTACACAGAATGTGTACTAATTTATACGCGACTCATGTAACTTTGTCTCGTGTGTATCGATCATAAGATTAAAATTTGTAAAATCACAACGAATATAATTTTTTTTTTTACAGTAAAACAAGATAATAAACACTGCTTAAAGGGCTCGGGAGATTAAATAAGAGGAACCTTTATGGTCGATGTACCTCAAACATTGATTGTGCAGTCGGTGGATACATGAAGCGTGTGTTTTTGAAGTGAAATCTTAAAAGCTAAAAACAAAAGTCAGGATGAATGGCAGTAAAATATAGATGAATGCTATTTTGACTGTCATTATGTTTTATTACAGTTGTGCCACATCAGCCCAAGCAGTCTATCGCAATGCCAAGAAAAAAGATCAACATAAGTAAAATAGGTGCTTTCAGTAATATACCGCACCCCCATCAGGGGATTGTCATCAATTAATGATTGCTTTAAAATATTATTTTCCAAACATTTAAGATACTGCACTAATAAGAGGGGTAAAGGAATTAGTCCAAGTTGATACCCAAAGACACGTGAAGCAAGTTAGTTTATTCGCTGCTGCTAATAATTTTTACAAAGTTTGACATGGTCTGCAAAGTTGGGAATATCGTTGACATAATGATGTTTAATATCTAGTCTGGGTAGTAGTTTCATTACCTTAAACGGTGGTGGATTTAGAGGGGGCGTGCGCCCCCTCTATTTAAAACAAAAAAAAAAACATTGTGTAAAGTTTATCTGAAAATTACCAAGTTAATAATAAAAAATCAATCAAATACAACATCTAATAATTAATAAAGGTGTTAAATGTTTAAGGGAGATTATCCCCCTTGCACCTCTACCAGAGGCACTTTCCTGAGACTCTCACTCAGTTCGCACATTCACGCCCCCTCTTTCTTGCAGGGCTGGATCCGCTATTGTTAAATCATAGAGGAATTAGTTTAGTCCGTGTGTCATTATCAAGGCGATAACACGGACATATACACTGTATATGTTATTAATTAGCGATTATTATTACGTCGTGGATGGTGATTTTTTTATTCTACTAGAACTATTATCATCATCATCATCGTCGGTGCTAATAGGTCAATGCAAAATTATATCGTCTGAACAGGATATTGTATGACCACTAATTTCACGCGAACAAGTGAATACTGGTAATTAAGATGACCAAACAAACTGACCAGATAAACAAAACCCGGTTGTTTACTTATGTCCGGTTTTATGACGAACTTAGTTTGTTGTGTGTAAATATACTTATTGGCCACAAAATCACATAAAGTATACGTTCCCCCCTGTAATACTATGTTAATATGCAATCATTACGGAACGCCTACTATACAAAACAGCGATCTGTTATTTTGTAAACTGTTGCGATGTGTTGACACATGTGGCCTGTCATACTAATCAATTGTCGCAGCCAATGCCTTGTCCAAGATCATACTTTTCAGCAAATGAATGGTAACATGATGACGTCATGAAGAACGATCTGTAAAATTAATTCTCTGGGCTCGCCGTATAAATAAGGCTACTACGCTTTGAACATTAAGTCACTCAACCAATAGTATTGACGTTGGAAACTCACTAAGATAGAAGCGAAAAACGAAGGCATTTGGACGGTTATTGTTTAACGTAGCAAAATACAAAAGAGAGGTAAGAAAAATATTTTTTTTTGTGTGTTAGATTTACTACAATTGATAAAAGTGATAAAGTGTACGTCTTATCTATATTGCACGTTGTAATAGAGAATGAAAGTGATATAGCAGGAATGTTGTTGAGAATAACATTTACAAGATATATTTAGTCAGGTCTCAATATTCTAGACTAAAGATATTCATTTTGAAAGTCTTCAATTTTTCTTAACGATCCTCTTCTGAAATCCTTTGGAGATTCGTGTAGAATTGGGTTTAAAATTACGTGTATATTTTATTTAAAACTATTTTCTCAGTATAGAATGTTTCTCCAAGCCTTAAGTATAAATATTTAAATAATTTAAGTGGGCATTGTTTTTTTTTTCATTATAGAAGTTATCGAAAAATGTCACAGTTGTTCACTAAATGTCTAAAAGCATCAATGTTATATCAATATTACATGATTATGTGTGATTTATTACATAATTCGATAGAACATTTTAATGTACATGAATATCTTGATGAAACACGTTCTTATATTAATATTGTATGGTATTCAGCAGTTTATGCCAGTCCCTTATGTAATATAGGCTAGGAGGTTATCGAATATTTTAACTAAACAATTTTAATATATTAATTAATAATAATAAAAGAATAATAGAACTCCATTTAATTCCATGGAATTCGAAATCATATGATTAAAATTATTGATTATTTCATATGGTTTATATATATATAGGCCTATATATATATATATATATATATATATATATATATATATATATATAGACATATATATATTTATTTATTTATAGCGCGATATGAACTATATAAATAGATTGATCGTATTTAATAAAATACACTCTTAATTTAGAATTAAACAACAACAACACATCAACAATAAAACAAAGTGTCCTCCCAGATAGAGGGCATGATATATAGTGTTATCAATAACAGTGTTTAACATTAAATTATTAATCTACTTTAAAAAAAAATCTTTCGTTATAGGTATTTGTTGATTGATATTTACTGTTGAAATACTTAAATTTAAATTTATTAAATAATAACATAAATGATACTGAACTAGTTATCAATATGGCAGGGGCATATTTCATTTCTCTCTATTCTTTATTAAGCAGATACCTGGGCCCATTGCGTATAGAGTACTTTCTTATTTTTGACATTATTACTAATTAATTAATTTTGTGCATCATTACATATTTTCGAAAATAGTTTTAACAAAATTAAGTAGGTGCTTATGCTAAAATACACAATAGTTGGTATACTTATAATACTTATAATATGTTTTTTTTAAAAATTATATAAGCCTACATTTTTCTGGCTTTTCATATGCCGAAAAAACCTAGTAATGTGTCAAAATCTGATATCGATTTAGCATTTGTATTAAGCAAGTATCAGTTCAATTCTTTGAGCAATTAATCTATAAAAAATATTAAAAAATAAAGTATATTTCTAATAAAATGGGCGTTTTACACAATTATTTATTCAACTAAATAATAAAATATATAATTCAGTATAAAAAAAGTATATTCTAGTAAAATAGGGTTTCCACTTAACTAACAAACCAAACGAAGTAGGCTTATGTATGCTCAATCAATGTAAGCAAAACCAAACGATGTATGTATGCTCAATTAATGCATTAACTATCCCAGGCTTCTTTACAATTGTTGATTATTCCTTGTTTATTCATGAAAATAAGTGATCTACTTTTTGTAAGATACATATCATTTTTAATTACCTCATTTTAATTGGCTAGTTTTAATTTTGATTTTAACCTGATTGGTCAGTTATTTACTTTTTTAGTCTCTTATACACATCTAGATGTGTATAAGAGACAGCTTAGGAGGAGGATTATATCATCCTAGAATGTTTAATTAGGATGAACTAAAACTTGTTAACGTCCTTATGGAGATATAGAAGTCAGAATAGGGAAAGAGGATTAGAAGTGGGATTTTTAAAGTGTAGAGTGCCTCAGAATGAATGTTTAAACCCAATTATGTTCGCAGTATATCTCTTTGATGTTGCAGAAGAACAGTACAATATTTTCACCACCATCAATTATATGCAAATGGCATCATACAAATTCCAAGACAGGAACACAGAAAGATATAAGCAAACAACAGAATACTTGCCAACTACCTCTAAATAGACTTAAACACAGAAACTCAATCACAGAAACACACACAAATATTACTAAAAATCTGATCAGACATCAATGCTGGCTTACGTGACCAGTATATTTCTATATCGTGTGTTGAACTATGGACCCTGCCAAAGATAGTTGATGGAAAAAAACTGACATGTTCCAAAGAAAATTTATGATGCAGACGATAGGCATCCGATATTGGAATCCCACATTGTCGAATGTATTTTGTAAACAGTTTTTTCAACATATAATTGGACTTCGTTATCATTGTAATTCGCTAATCAATATCGTTATGTTGGCTCTTAAGTGCCGATACTTAAGCTAGAACATTCATAATTGTAGGCCTAATTGCAATTACGCACACCATTCACACACACACACACACGCTACTGAGGCAGTAGTTTTGTCCGAAAGCTTTGGGTTTATTTCTGGCTGTTAACTCAATATTTTATACATTCTGTCTATTAATTTATATGATGGTAAATAGGTCTAGATTAAAAATAGCCCATAATGAGGTTTATATACCGGTAGCTCTGAGATTAAACAGGTGAATAAATATGATGTAAAAAAGCAAATCACGTGATCAGTTAATGATACAATCCAATCAGAGACTAAATCCCCTGCAATTGTTGACTTTTGGCCTAATATCATACACATACATAGAAAACAAAATGTACCTTAAGAAAGATAGCAGCAAAGGGAAAAGAGAACATCAGGGAAATATAACAAGGTCCAACGCGTCGTGATGTTACCTTAGCGATTATGTTACACCAGTTTATAACCTATTTGATTTTGATTGCAGCCATCCTGCCAATGGATAATTTACTTTTAGGCAAACCTGTCTCTTATACACATCTAGATGTGTATAAGAGACAGTATATATACCATATGAAATAATCATTTTAATCATATAATTTTGAATTCCATGTAATTAAATGGAGTTCTATTATCCTTTTATTTGTATTAATTATTATATTGAAATTGTTTAGTTGTGTGTATAAATATATATATATAAATATATTATATACATATATACATATATATATAATATATGCCTATATTTTAGGTGTATATATGAATTTTGAACATTAAAGGAGAGGAATCATCGAGTGTGAAAAAACTGCGATTCGAACCAAAGCCCTTCTGGTGTTCGTGTAGTCGCCTTAACCATTGAGGCTTCGTTGGAAATGTTAATCCGATATGAAGCGACTGATTTTTCACATTTTTTTGAACATGCATATTGGAACAGCGCTAGTTTTTTTGATGCACTGCAAATTCATCGAATGATACTCTCTCATCTTACGCATTTTAAACGACAAAATGGATCTCTGAAAAGATACTTTATTAAGTAAATCATGGTACGTTATAGAATGGTATTATACACATACACATATAGATTATTTTCGGCTCCGAAATAATCCTTCCCCGTTGTCTGTTGAAATGTACAGTATGTCCGGAACGATACATCATTGACTTGTGTGCTACAGTGCGTAGCAACCACATTCGCGTCCATACGGTACGACGCGCTCGCTTGCCGTCGAAAGTAAGTGTTATAACACAATAAAATTAACGCTTATATCAGCCTCTGCATGGTGATTTGACATCATCACTCGGAGTTAATTCTTCTATAACCTCTGCCGTGAAATTTAAAGACATGCATAATATAAATGACTTTTACAATTAACCGGACTCTAACGAGAGAGTAATGGGGAAAATATTAGTTCAACCGCAGTGCCCTGAATTTAAATCTTGCTTCCTTGACGTGACATCTGTTATGATATCCAGTATTTGCAATTGTGTAACTATTAATAATTTTAACCAATCGTTAAGCATAACAATTTTTCACGTTTGGTTCGGTAATCGATTTCTAAAGAATGTTCACTGTAACTTCAAAATCTCCAAAATTAAACTGAATAGCTATGGGCCGATAGACTGATACGTATATAAATATATACATGTGCATATGTTTTAATATTATGGTGTTAATTGAATTAGACCTATCACAGCTTTTCTTAGAGACCATACTACGAAATACCAAACATTAGAACACATTTGAAAAAAATCTAAAATTTCATCTAGAAAACCACTGAGGTATTATAGAAAAGTAACACTGAAATGTATGCGTACATAGAGAGATCATTTGCTTTTAAAGAGCTTTCGGACACCATATTCAAGAATGTTTTCTGTATATACCGATATACAACAACTGTTGTTTTACACTCCATCGATGATCTGATGCAATTTTTAAAATTTATTAAAAAAACGTATAGAGAGGTTTCACGCCACAAATTCGTTTTCTTTTTGTTTTTGTCTGTATCGCACTGTTTCGCAAAACACGAATATCCGAATCGAAAGTTCTCTTCAGATGTTCGTGGGATCTGAGCTCCAGGCCCGGGTGTTTAACATAAGATGAAACTTCTAAATCACGACTCTCTTTTCACAGCAAGTTAATTTAACAGTTCCAGCAAATAAGTTGTGTTATATTATTAAAGACTTCAATTGTAGTTGTAATTCAATGATATTATAGATATTGTTGTCATAGTCCGAATTTTTGATTTAGTAAATATCTTATATCTTAAACATAAATAAAGAAACAAACAGAAAATTTCACAGACAGATCTATACACAGTTTTGTCGAAGACCGCACAGGCTGGCGAGAAAAAGTAAAACGTGCTATGTCGGAAGACGAAAAGCGTTAAAGAAGCAATATCTTATCCGGGGTTTTTTTTACACTCATGAAATCTATGATCGAAATTCTTGTAAAACACATATACGTTCTGACAGATGATTGGACATCGGCTCCAACATTTAACATATTGGTGACGTAATGATATTGATCATTATTTTCGTAAAGTTTCGAAAGCTTAGTAAAAACTGAGTTTTCTGATTACGTTATTAAATATCAGAAAGCGAAATAAATACGACAAGGCAGTGTTTATTACTTCTAATATTATTAGTAGAAGCTCTACTGGGAATCGTAGCAAATCAACTTACACTACATAAAACAAAATGTTTAGTTGACCAGAATAGGTTGGTGAAAAAATATAACATTGTATAATTTACACTAGCTTTCTAGCTTTCCCATA